CGTATCCCGCTCACTACGAACATGGTATTAAAAATAAAACATATACACACACACACACGAAACAACAGAAAACAACATAACAACAACGGCCTCCGCTCGCCACCGTCTCTAAGAACCCGTTGTTGCAATCTCATATAATGTCCGATGCCTGGACCTTTTTGCTAAAAGGGGTCGACAATGGGTATGCCATGGGTGATCGAATCCAGTTGCAATCTCATATAATGTGGTCCGGCTCGCGAACCGGCGCACTGGGGGGGGGGGGGGGGGGGGGGGGGGCTGAAGTACGTATCCCGCTCACTACGAACTATGCAGTGGTTATAATCAAGCGCACAATTTGCATGTTGATGGGCCCGGAGCACTCGAACAAACCTGGAGTTTATTCTGAGTTGCCGACTGAAGGCCGCTACAAAAGGCTACCGTAAAGATTGCCTATAAGGGAGAACTTCGAACACCGTTGGTGTGCTGGGGTGGTTGGGGTTGGGTGGTGTGTGTGTGTGTGTGTGTGTGTGTGTGTGTGTGTGTGATGGGTCCAGTACTCCAAGCGATGGCAGTTGACCCATATCACTGCCCACTTAGCAACAGTTACTAATGATTGTTTCAATTTATTCTTATTTATGTCGCTCCAACATGAATTTCGGCTTTGTTACAAAAAGTGAACAATCAAAAGGTTCACTTTTAACGAAATGTGTATTGAAAGAGTCTGTCCAAGTCGGAGATCGAACGATAGTGGGAATCGTAGCACATGTCGAGTCGGGGCACCAGCAACCGGAAACACAGCGTGCAACAGCATTGAAAAGGCGGAGATCTTGACGCGCAACAGGAAAAGCAGCACATGTCACGTCGGGCACCAGCTTCGGAAAGGTAGAGACCACGGCATGCAAAACCCAGCGGGCACCAACAGCGGAACGGCGAAGACTCTGGCGCGCAGCACACAGCTTGGCACGAGGGCATTGATAGGAAAAATTCTATATTACTCCAGGAACTACAGCGACTGGACACGCGTGGTAATCACCACCCACGCAGAGCAGGCAGGAAAACTGCCACGAGTGAGCAAGAATACCATCGTGGCAACGCGACCGTACCATCGTGGCAAAGTGACCGCCTCGCCCAACACGGAAGGGTCCCCCATCTTGATTCTCGGCATGCGTGGTACTCACCACCCACGAAGAGCGGGCAAGAAAACTACCACGA